CTGAAGCACAAGTGTATTTCGGCTCTAGTGTGCGTTGTTTGTAATTAATCTTTATTGAAGCTCCCATTTTGTGGACGTCTAACTGCGTACTGTCTGCAGACAGACTGGGCTGTTCCTGCAAATGTGGGAGATGCATCCCTCCCCCCACCCCGCTCTCCTCCTACGGCTTCCTGACTTGACTGTCCACAGTGTGAGAGCCTGGGATCACTGAGTGAGCAGCGAGCGTCATCCTTTGCACTAACCACCCGTATAATCAGCCATCACTTATACACTTCTTAATAGCGTGTCTTTTTTTTTTTTATTGCATCAGAATCTCTGGTGAATCATGCATGTCACCTGGGGGATGAAGCGGTAGCCGTGCAGAGCCACGTCATGGCCTTTTTCACACACTAGTTTACCTACATGTGAACATACGGTGTGAGTGTAGATCACAAGTATGGGCCCTGTCCACCAATATCCAGTTGCCAAGGCTCACTCAGCGAACGGAGGGACAATGTCTGTCGTCAATTTTTGAACATATCAAAATGGGGGAGCTTGCGTTAATTGACCGTAGGTGCCAGAAATGTATTCGAAAGTATGCCGTGATTTTTGTAGGAAAAGTTATTCAGACAATGCAAGAAGATGGAGGGCACACCGTGTCTCTCTCTCTCTCTCGAGCTGTCTCTTTACTTATACTTATACGAACCCGTCTACGAACCATATAGCCCACAGGTATCAAACTCAGGCCCGCGGCCCAAATCTGGCCCCTGGTCATCAAATGTGTACTAGAGCTGACCCGCCATTATATAGCCACTATACACTGGCGGGACTTGTAGTACAGTGGGACCTCGAGATACGAGCATAATCCGTTCCCATTGTATAGCCACTATACACTGGCAGGATTTGTAGTACAGTGGAACCTCGAGATACGAGCATAATCCGTTCCAGGACCGAGCTCGGAACTCAAGGTACTCGTACCTCGAATCATTTTTTCCCCATAAGAAATAACTGGGAAAAAAAAAATTATCTGTTCCGGCCCTCTAAAAAAACATCTTTATTGGTGCTAAAAACAATTGTTTTTAATTGCTATAGAGACATACACACACATGAAAATTATAGTATATAAGAATTCCTGTGATATAAATTAAAATGTGGTTTTAATTATGAGTTCTTACATTTGAAACAGACAATACAGTAGCGGCTAATGGCGGCATGTGCAGAGGAGGAAGAGGGAGGAAGGATTTGTATTCTTGTTTTTGGTGGACACCACGCTCATATTTATCGACAATTTCATGTTTTATTTCCATGATCGTCGTGCGTTTCTTCTTCTCACTACCATCTTTACCGCTCACTCTCTTAGGACTCATCACTATTATAAAGAATAATGCACAAAATACGGAGAAAAACCCCTAGGTAACGCAGACACAATACGGAAGCCTCGCAGCAGATGTGTACGGAAGTCGACGAACACGTGACGTGAACGAGTGAGGCGCCGTGGGCTGCTCCGAGTGCTCGGCCGCCTAGCGCCGGCGTCTGTAAGCCTGCTCGTAGCTCAAATCTTAACTCGTATCTCGAAACAAAAAAATAGCTCGAAGGCTCGCTCATATCTTGAAATACTCGTATGTGGAGGCGCTCGTATCTCGAAGTTCCATGGTATTAGCAATGTATGCACTATATTGTAGCATATACATTTTTTGTTGTTCTGTTGTTGGCCTGTAAAGGTAGATTTACATTATAAAGGAACT